TTCATTTTCTCATCTTGGTTGCTTTGTGTTACAAATGAACAAATACATAGAAATAATAAAATAATAGCTTTTTTTCCCCTATTTTCCGGTATAAACGAACGCAAATCCAGGACAATTTGACGTACGCGTGCTGTGGGAAAAAGGATTATGTCCACATACTTTGCTCCACGTGATTTAATAAATAATATTTTGTATTACGCAGCCGTAGCCTATTACAAGGTGAGCGCGTTTGAGGTTTCCACGTGTCACACTATCTTTGATGAAACAAGTGTTTGAAAATAATGATGAATAGTGACCTTTATACAAGTAATATTGGATATTACACCGAAACACCTGCCGCTTTCTTTCCTCACTCAAAGTCGGCCTGGCTGAATGAAAGCAAGAGGAAAAATGTTGAATCAATTGCACGGTGAGTTAGCGACATCTAGTGGTTGAAAAGATAAATACAGTTCATGCACATTTTTATTCATGAAATTATGTATTAAAAATAATTGTGTTGTAACTGTATTTGACCTGTAAAATGGTGTTTTGGCAAATGAAAATATGGATTTGGATCGGTAATAAAATTAACTATTAACTTCACATTAATACAAAAACGTAAATTATCCATAATTCCATCATTTTCCGAACCCTTCATAATTACACAAGTTGTTTTGTGTGTGTGCGCGCGTGTATGTGCATTCATTCTTATGTATATCGACTGATATTCACCACTACAGTACAGTACACTAGTTTTGAAACGTGACAGACGACACGCCCACTTAGTCGTACGGTCGCGTCTGATTGGCTCTCAACGTTTTTTCCTGTTCTCTAATTGGTTGATATCTTGTCAAGCTAGCTGACTTCGCCTGTTTGACTCTCCTTCCTCCAAACTGTCGCAAGGACCGCCAGCTCGGCAAAATTGTGGGCATCACACCGCTACCTTCATCTCCTTTTACCTGCAAAATAAGGTACGAATATGCAGCGTTTTCCCTTTCGTCTTCGTGGTAGACTGTCAAGCAGCAGGAAGGACGGTATTGTCACTTTCATTGTTCGCTTCTGTTCTTCAAGCGTCAAGCATACCAAGTGAAGCTAATGTAGCTATTTAATTCTTGTACGAGCATGGACAGCTCAAGACAATATAAAGATGTATTTCTAAATTGATCTATCGTGTAGGTGAAGGTTATTGTCGTATTTTGATGTTTTGATGTTTATTTTTTCCTGCTGTCAGACTGCTCTTTTCTGATTGTACTGTACTTCCTGTTTTGAGTGTTCCAATTATCAGATCATGCTCGGGAAAGAAATTAACCAGTCATCATTGAAAAGCTTCGAGTGAGGAAAAGTTATTGGGAACAGATGTTGACAAATCTCATTCAAAGAACACATTGGGTTAGCTTTTAGTTTGAAAATGTATTAGTCTGGATGAAGTTTAATTAAAACCCTTGTGGTAACATATGAAAACTTCTTCAGCAGTTTTATAATTTTTTTTTTTTTTTACTTAATTATCCAAGCCGGGGATAGATGCTGAGTCACAAGCGAGCCACTCTTGTACTACAGTATGAATGAATTCATTCACGAAGGTTCTTAGGTCCACCGCCCCTCCCAATGTCACTTCGACTTATCTGTGGCTGCGTCCCAATCCGTTTGTGTTGCAACCAAGGGCGGAGCTACGTGGTGGCCAGAGGGAAGGGCCTCCATCCCTTGTCACTCTCTGGCCACTCTCTGGTGACTTCACTACAAGACTCAATTTGCCAGAGCAAAGTGTGTCAGTTAAGGCGCACAGCAGTAAACAATGGAGCACACAGAAGAAATTGAAAACAGCAGTCCCTGGACAGAGGAGGGAACACATTGCCTTATCAGTCTGTGGAGATATAGCGCCATACAAGCATAGAGTCTGTATATAAACAAGTGCATTTATAAAAGTAGTTAGTATATTGTCGCTTGTACTATTTCTGACAGAACAATACAATACAATACATCTTTATTTATATCGTGTTTTCACAACAGCTGTAGCTGTTATAAAGCCTTTTACAGAGCAGTTAACATAAAATAACAAAGAAGATGCCTCCGTTCCGAAGTCAGACCTGTCAGACCTGTCGACCTGTCAGATGGGTCAATGACGTGGCCCAGTCTGAACAGGGCCAAATCTGATTTGGACACTGGTTTGAATTAGACACAGTGTGCCAGCAGTCTGAATGCAGCCTTCGACCCCTTGATACTCTGACACTAATAATTTGTAGTAACTACATATGTAAAGAATAATATTGTGGTGACCCACAAGGGAGAGACATTCACCAGGAACCTTTACCTTTATGGGGGGGTTTGACATGTTTCTGAGTTCAAAGGGATAATTGATGTGAAAAGATCAAAAACACTCACTTGCTGCGTAAACACTCAGTTTTGGTGTGGAGAATAAATGGGAGACAACTCGCCATCGGATACTTTACCACATTTCAACAATATTACATTTGAACTCTTGAACATCCACATTCATCCCATATGGGCAATGGAGGTGGCAGATGTGCCCTGAAATATTTTCAGTCTTGTGGGAGGATATTGGGGGTGCAGACAGCCCTTTCTTCAAATGTATGCCCACTCTGTCCAATGAGAATGACACTTCAAAATGCGCATTCTGCCACTATTAGTGGCAGACAACAGGTTTTCGTAACAGGGTTTGTTGTTGACTCCAGATAGGACAGTGTGTAAAAAATATGGTAATAGTTTTGTGGACTTCAACTTCATTTGCAAGCGTCTCCAGCTCACATTTTCTGAAGTTCCTCGGTTTTCATTTTGTGACCCATGATTAGATAATCTGATTATCTGTTCTTGCAGAGTCCTGAATTCCCACCAGTAGAACGTGTTTATACTCGTTTGCATATTCATTTGGCGGCATGGCGAGGGAGGAATCTGGTACTCCAGCAATTCTGCAGCGATTGAGATGTAGGAAAGGAATGTGCTTGGATTCATCCACTCGCACAGATATATAAATATGGATGTTTTTTGTGCATGCTACATTTTCTAGATTTGGCTGTATGCTCCGTTTCAGTATGAAAGCCTTTGCACATGAGTTCACAGGTTTCAACATTTGTATCACACGTGCGTTTACAGGATAAACAATGGCTGCCAAAATCAAAGCCGGGTCTGTGGTGGAGATGCAGGGTGACGAAATGACCCGGGTCATCTGGGAGCTTATTAAGCAGAAGCTCATCTTCCCCTACCTGGAACTTGACTTGCACAGGTAATAACACCAACATCATTTTTTGGAACGTATCACATTCAGAGAGTTGCCAACCTATAGAAATTCACTGTCTGAGTAATTTCTTTTAAGTTTCCTAATTTTAAAATGCAATCAAGAACATTACAGTGTGACTGCACGCTTGAGTGTTTTACTTTACATGTGTTTAATATTATTGTCCCAAATAATGAATCGCTCAAAATTATTTCCTTCGCAGTGACTTTTCAACATTACATACACACACACACACACACACACACACACAACACACACACACACACACACACACACACACACACACACACACACATATTTTAAAAAATGCTGGACAAAGATTTTAGTGCTGCTGGTCATTTTCATGTGAAGACCTTTTCAAGGGGGCGGCATGGTAGTCAACTGGTTAGCACATCGGCCTCACAATGTAGAGGTGCAGAGTTCGAACCCGGCTTCGGCCTTCCTCTGTGGAGTTCACATGTTTCGCGGCACGGTGGTCGACTGGTTAACGCCCTGGCCTCATAGTACTAAGGTCCAGGGTTCAATTCCAACTCCGGTCTTCCTGTGTGAAGTTTGCATGTTCTCCCTGTGCCTGCATGGGTTTTCTCCGGTTTCTCCCACATTCCAAAAAACATATATATCTATAGATAGATAGAGAGAGAGAGAGAGAGATAGATACACACACATATTCGCAGTATATGGCTTACTTTAAGGGTGTATGACATTGTCAGACTGGGCTTTGGCTACCAATTTAGAGCAATTTTTGTCCTGCTGAGTTTGCGTCGCCATTTCCCCTTTGGTGTCATAAAACTCTTTTCTTTAGCCTTTGCTCACACACTTTTGTTCAATTATTACCCAAACTTACTCTTGTCAAAACACATAATTGAGAGGGCTGATACTGTTTATGTTTTTACTAGCCATGTTTAATGATTGCAGGAATTGTCAATACGGTTGTGAAAAAAAGCTCAGAGTGTCACATATGCACATTCCTGGATGACTTTGCAATCCATCTGACATTGCATGTCGAAAGAATGTGGAAGTGATATATTCCACTTTCCTTTGCAATCCAATGCACAAAGGCAATGTACATGTCAAACCTGATCTTGGATGCTGAAATTTTCCTTCTCACTGTTATGTTAAATGTCAAATAATCAGCATCACATCACAATGGCTCCGGATGGAGAAAGTAGGGGAAAGGTCGCGGCTGTTTTCAAACAAAACCTGGTCGTGCAAGCAAAGCGAGTCAGGTTGCGGGTTAATTCCTTTTGTGCATGCAGTATTTCAAGTCTTGCATGAGGTATAATTAGCAGAGAAATTGGGTGAATTCGATGCCAGTAGAAGCGTAGGCTATTGTGCTCGAATTCCTTTGGCTTTATGTTCTTAACTGTCCTCCTTTTCTAAATCTATCACAGCTATTGTGCTTTTACACAGACAACTAATCACCTGGCTTCTGCCATACTAATTAAAACAGATTGAAATAAAAATTCTGTCCACATTTTCATCCCTTTATTCTAAAAAACAAAAAAACAGAACCCAAGACATTATTTCAGATTGACAGTGCAGAATATGTACAAACATTATGACTCAGTTACTTGTTTGGTCTGTAAAATGCAATGTAAAGAAAAGGGGGAGGGGACACGAAACCGGCTGATCTCTAGTTGGCTACAGGCTGCAATGTATGAGTTGCAGGTGTTTTTTTATTGTATGTTTTTTTTAAGCAGCAATAAAAGGAATTGATCGACATGCCGATCGTGTATTTCGATGGCCGATTGATCGAAGCATGGTGGGGCGGGTTCAAAAGTGGTGCTTTTTGCAACTCTATGCGATTTGAGGAACATCGTAAAAACTTTTCAGAAATACAAATAAACCAAATGTCACCATTTTTACACGATCATTCTCATGTCATGTGACTAAAAACGTTTCTCTCGTCACCTGCCCAGTTATGACCTCGGAATGGAGAACCGTGACGCTACGGACGACCGTGTGACGGTGGAGGCAGCTGAGGCGGTTAACAGAGTTCCAGAAACCCCCCGCAATAAGTGTAAATCCATAACATGGATGAACCGTATATATTTTTTTTAACAGTCTTCCTCCTCCCACACCTTTAGCACTTATTAATAAAGCACATGACCATATTAAAACACACTTTTTAAGGTATTCCCGAGCATCTCTTCTCACTCTCTCACTGTCAAGAAATGGGAGACTCATATAACATCACTTTGTGAAAACTGAAAGAAGAAAACAAGTTCTCCAAATAAGAGACTGCTTTCTTCAAACAGATTACGATAAACAAAATGTGTCTGCGAACATTCGCCACTCAGTGAGATACCAGCTTAAAGCGTCCAATTTTTTAGTATTAAGCTCAATTTATGTATTTTTGCAAAGGAAAACGAAACTGGCATTCATTTTCAATGATAGCAATAAGTGTTAAAACGGACACAAGATTCCGCCGGTAGATGTCCATATACATCCGCTGTCTCTTCAGATGGATGCCCTTCTCAAAGAGGCCCCTTGCAAAGATTGTCCCTTGCAATTTTTTGTTGAAGGAGTTGTGGGTGGGAGTCATACATAAGACAAATATTTTTTGTCTTTTAAGAATCCAGACATTCAGAACCAGGTATATATTTATTCTTGTAAATTTTTTCTTCACGTGGTAGGGTAAAGGAGGGCCTGAAATTGGCTTGGAGTGAATGAGTAAATTGTTTTTCTTTTTTCAAATATTATTTTTAATGGAATAATTACTTTGTTTCCGGTCTGATTGATTGAACCCTTGTGAGGGTATGCGGATTAGAAAATGGATGGACGGATGATTTATTGACAGAATTAGAAAATACCTCAACAGCCTTGTTTTGATTGTACGTTGTTCCCACATTAACTGTAGAACTGTGGGGGATAAAAAAGAACTCCTCAATTTCACTTATTGCATAACAAGCTGTTTCCTGTCTCTCTCTCTCTCTCTCTCTCTCTCTCTCTCTCTCTCTCTCTCTCTCGCTCTCTCTCGCTCTCTCTCGCTCTCTCTCTCTCTCGCTCTCGCTCTCTCTCTCTCTCTCTCTCTCTCTCTCTCTCTCTCTCTCGCTCTCGCTCTCGCTCTCCAATTTGTGGTTACTTCAGACATGGCTCTGTTGTCAGGAGATGTACAGTAAAAAGATTACATTTCATAAGCTGGCCTTTGGACCATCATGTTCTGTTCCGCAGGCCAATGTCAACAGCACTCTAGCCCCGGAGCAACAACTACATCTAGGTGAAGTGTCATGTAGCGGAAAGTTGCGCAATGTCTATGAAAAGCTCTGCTCTGTAACTTTGGGTGGTGGATTTCTAAAGCATTGACAATTCCTTCAACATGTTCCCCACAGTACAAAGCCACCGATTTTGTGGTTCCCGGACCGGGCAAAGTGGAGATGATCTACACGCCTGTAAGCGGAGAGCAGGTCAAGTTCGTCGTCCACAATTTTGAAGGTATGCACTGGGGTTTGACACCACTCATACTTTCTGATAGTGTCAGAGAAAGAACACAAATGAGCCAAGAGTTATGAGTTAGGAATTGATCATTGACATGTTAGTAGTTTTATGCAGTAACACAGGTCAAATTGTTGTTGTTGGTGGTGGTTTTTTTTTCCACTTTTACATTTTAAATGGGAAGTCAAGTCAAAAATGTTCATCACAATAATATATTCTGTGCACAGCCAGGAGTCTGAACATGGCATTTTGATTCATAATGTGCAGAAAAATCCACCTGATTTTATGCGTCTCAGGAGGACGCCATTTTGCCATTTGTTGTCAACTGAAAATGACATCACGGTTTCAAAGGGCTCAGGTGATGACTGTCACGGCAAACCTGTTTTGTGGGTTTGGTCATGAGGCATTAGCAACCTCAGTCCTGAGTCAGAGCATGTCTTGCCGAGAACTCCAGTGTTGTCCATGTAGTCGTTCTTTGCAGAGGAAAAAGAAAACAGTATATGACTGAACTGTTGTCTTGTCTGTCTACATGTGTTGCTGCACCATTTGGTTTCAAATATCTGTTGCTTAAAGGGTTATATAACACAGCCACATCATTACCAGTCAGTGCCCATGTTAGCATTAGCCTTAACATCGCAGATTAAAGGCTCAACTAAGTGGCTGTTTTAAATATGCAACGTGTCGTTTTGTTTTTTCTGTTTCGTTTGGTAATAAAATTAACCTGAGTGACAATATCTAGCTTGAAGCCATTTTTTTAAACCAATTCTGACATTGCTACCATGCAGCGCTTGTATATCTGTGCTCACTAGTCAAACCAATAAAACAGCCAAATGACAGCTTGGAAAAAAACGTGGAAGTCAGATCGCTCGTACCTTAAGGCAACACTCGATTGTTCTTAATAATATTTGTATGCGTTAATTGATTGTTTTTCACATTTCTAATTTCAACAGTCTACCAGGTATATTAGTCGACAGAAACTGGCAAAATGGCTGCCCCCTGAGATGGCTAAAAATGGGTGGATTGTGCTGCTTAACTCACTCCACAAACGTAATATTCATCGGAATGCCGTGTTTATACTAAGTCGGTGCACATCCAACATATTATTGGAAAGAAAATGTTTGGGTTGACTTCCCTTTTAAATGCTAGGTTTTTGTGATGATGAAAATTTTGACTAAAATAGATCCAGGGCACACTGTCTACACTGTGCATATTTGTGTGTAGGCACTGGCGGTGTTGCATTGGGGATGTACAATACGGACAAATCCATCAGGGACTTTGCTCACAGCTCCTTTCAAATGGCTCTGGTGAAATGCTGGCCTCTGTACCTCAGCACCAAGAACACCATTTTGAAGAAGTATGATGGACGATTCAAGGACATTTTCCAGGAGATCTATGAGAAGTATGCGCGCACATTTACACACACACACGCACACACACACTCACACATTTCTCATTCATCGTACTTTGTATACAGTGGAAACTACAAGTCAAACACACAAAATCAAAACCATCATCAGCAAATCTCATCAGACAACAGCGCAGTGAGCATATCAAGCAGCAGTCGGCAACCTGCGGCTCCTGAGCAGCATGTGACTTGGGAAAATAAATGAGTGTCTAATTTCAAATTTGTTTTATTTTACTTCATTTCTTTTTCAAATGCCATTCTTAATTTAACAGCGATGGTGTTTTTGTAAACATTTTTTGTTGCTCAATATATGCGCGGACGCACATAAGCGACACCTGACGCCAAGATTCATTGAGTATTTAGCTGCTGGTAAATAAACCTTGGATAAATCCAATAAGAGAAAAGTTTCTAAAGAAAGCAAAATGTTTTTCGTCTGCTTTTTTTTTTGATGATGCCACCACATAAGCGCAGCATTGATCATAATGAATGTAAAATGAATACAATTTACGATGATGGTGCTGATGGTTTCATTGTTTATATTTTCTCTGGGAAAATGTGTTTTTAAATACACACTCTCACTCCGACTTATCCTTACTCGACAGGGAATACCGTGCTCAGTTTGAGGCCAAAGGTATTTGGTACGAGCACCGTCTGATTGACGACATGGTGGCCCAGGCAATGAAGTCAGATGGAGGCTTCATTTGGGCCTGCAAGAACTACGATGGAGATGTACAATCCGACTCAGTGGCTCAAGGTTGGTACGATTGACCCGTGTTCCATATAACAGCAAAACAAATCTGAAATGCAGCAACATGGCTTTTCAGTATTTAGGTTACAGCTACTACACCAGGGTATGATGACCAGCGTGTTTGCTTCCACAAATACATGTGTTAGTATGGAGCATTTTGGGTCACGACAAGGTGGTAATGTGACTAATTGAAAATTTAAAAGGTACTGCAGCTTTCTACCGGGAGACGCATTCATCACACACAACCTTTACTAAACGTTAACCTTGCCATATTTTTGTGTGAATACTGCAACGCATTCACACAAACTGTTTTGTTCCGCAAATTCTCCTCACTTTTTGACATTGTACCCAATCCAAATGTCTCAAACAATTAAAATCATTCAAACTTCCAAATATTGACAAAATATATGTGACTCACATCCCAAAAATCCACACTTACTTTACAATTGCTTTTTTTCACCACCGCCCACACAAAAAATTCGCATGAATGAGACATCCCACCGAAATATGTTCTTCATCATTCACATTCCAACTTAAAATTGTGCAGCTCATTCAGAATATCATGGGAACTCATTTTCACATTCTCAGAATTACATTTTTCATTTCAGTTTTGGGGACTGAACCCTGCCACGAAGAGCGGAAATCCACAAATGATTGATGATTTTCAATGACGATATGATCACGTTACATGACACCGAAACAACGAACCAAACCATCGGTGTCACTCCAAATCACTAAATCCAATGAAATCTTTATCCTCAGTGTCACTTTTAAAAAACTCCCCAAACTCTGGAGGTAAAAGATGGCGCTTCCTCTTCTACGTTGCTTATGTCAGTCATCTTCAGGTTTTTTTTTTTTTTTTTAATCAGTTACAGCCAAATGGACAGTCTCAACACAGGCTTAGAGGACCCTCTTGCGGTTGAATGTGAAAATAACGTGTGAAATGATATATTTCACACATACCTGTAAGTCGCTCCAGAGTATAAATTGCACCCATGGCCAATATGCGTTTGTTCAAATGATGTCTCCGTAGTAATGGGTTGGAGAAACAAAAACATGCAGTATCAGCTTTTTCCCACTTTTAGGC